TTCCCTGGAGCAGGGATACAGTCCCCAGAGCCAGGTGGGATGCATTCCCTGGAGCAGGGATGCATTCCCGGAGCAGGGATGCTCCAGGCCCTGCAGTCAGGATGCATTCCCCGGAGCAGGGATGCATTCCCTGGAGCAGGGATGCTCCAGGCCCTGCACCCACAATACGTTCCTTGGAGCAGGGATGCATTTCCTGGAGCATGGATGCTCCAAGCCCTGCAGCCGGGATGCGTTCCCCAGAGCAGGGATGCTGGTCCCGGAACCCGGCAGTGCAATGGGGCACGCAGCTCCCGCGGCTCCCAGGCCGGGCTGCGTCCCCCCCCGGCGGCGGCCAAAGAAGAGACGCACAGAGCAGGTTGTAACCAAGGACTTTATCTCCGGAGCGGGAAGCGGGTGCTCGCGCGGACGCGCCGGCCGCTCTATAAGAGCGCGTCGCTCCGGGCGCCGCCGGCCTCTCGCGGCTGCAAAAAGCTTCAGGCACTGACTCCGCGCGAGCCCCGCGGGCAGCAGCAGTTCATTAAATAAAACACAAGCTACAGACCGAGGAGCGCGGCCGCGTCCCCGGCACCTCCGCCGACCCTGCGCGGGGTCCGGACAGACGACGTCGGAGCGGCCGCGGGAGCAGGAGGGGGGTTTGTTCAAAAAGAAAACACACATCAGCTCAGCCACGTACTGCAATACAGAAACATCACCAAACGTTCACATTCCCGGAGCGCCCGCCCGGCGCCGGCGGCGTTCCCGTCCCCCCGAACGGCGCTCGCGGCTCTGCGTCTTCCTCGCTGTGGGGTTTTGTCACGTTCTCTGCCCTCTCCGACGTGCTCTGCTGCCTCCCCGGCTCCGCCGTCCCCGCAAACAGACACGTCCCGCAAGCGGGAGCCGTCCCGGGATGCCTTGAACAGGTCAACACTGGGAAAAAGGGATAATTCAGGGGTCCCAAGGGCAGTGGGGGCTGTTCCCTGCGCGTGGGGAGGCGCCAGCCCCGAGGCGATGCCGGGGCTCAACCCCGCGGGGAAGGCGGTTCCGGCTCGAGGGCTGACGCTCTCCAGGCCTCGTCCCGCTGCCTTTGCCCACGGGTGGATGTGGGATGGGGCGGGAAGCGGCAGCCCCTCGGGATCCGCGAGCAGGGACGTCCGGAGGAGCCTTGGGGACCTCTCCATGTCCCTGAGGATCCCGAAGGGCTGCGCGAGAAACCCCGTCCCCAAACGGGAGCAAAGACCCGGAGCCTCCCCTTGGAAAGGGCTGGGAAGGCCACATCCCTGCGGGAAGAGGCTGCTCTCAGAGCTGGATACAGAGGCAGGAGCGGGAATAAAGGGGAAACAAAAAAAAAAAAAAGAGGAATTTCCCTTCCAGAGACCTGTCACTGTGAAACCCCCCGAGCTGCTAACGCTGCTTTGGAAGCAAAGCCGGGGCATTAACACTGAAGCGGGAGCGAGAACTGCAGGCTCCGGCTTGGAAACTTCCAACCGGGAAGGAGCCGGAGAGGCCGGAGCGGCAGCCCCGGCTGGAACAGGATTTCCAGCAGCGCTAGAGCCGGACGGACACGCGGAGAAGGGGGCGCAGCCGAGTCCCGCCGCTCGCCAGCGAGTCCGTGGGTAAGAGTAAAAACATCTTGTGCATTAAGGTATCTCCTGCATTAACTTTTGCCATAAAATAAAACCCAAAGAAACCCAGATGCTAAAACATGCCCATTTGGACATGCCTGGAATAATCCTGTTTCGAAATGGCAACACGAGGCTAGCTCAGAATTTCGGGACAAGGGCCCCCAAGGCGTTTTGTGGCACGAAGCGCCTCAACGGGACCCGCGTCTTCCCGCCGGGAAGCGCCGGGAAACAGCGAGGAGGATGCGGGAAGGACGCGGCCCGGCCTGCGAGGGGTCTCAGAACTCACCCGACTGCTCCAAACTGAGGATTTACACAAAATCCCTTGGTTTTGTCCTCTGAACGGTATAAACATCCAGCACACACACGTGCACGCACACGCACACACACGCGCCGTGCCGTCCCTTTAGATTTCAAACACCAATACTGCAAAGTGGCAAATCAGAAAAATAAAAAGCAACCTTTGTTTTTCTCTTGGTTTTGGCAACTTTAAAAAATGGTTAAGAACAATGCGGCATTGGTCCCTAAATCTAGAAAAAGATATTTGGGCACAACACTGAGAGTCAGAATGGGTTTGTTTTCAAGATTTCGTAACATCTGGAAAAAAAAAAAAACTGTAAAAGTAGCACTTTTTGACTTGTTTGACACAGTCACATAATTCATTAAAACATCAGGAAAAAAAAAATCTTTTCACTAATAAAAAGCTTGATTTTAATCATCGGCTTTCGTTGACGTGAATGGAGGAGAGGAGGGAAGCTCGCGCTGGAATGCTGCACGCTGCTGCCGAGCGAGCGGACGCGGGGACTGGAATGTGCTCCGGGCCGGCGCGGCCGCCGCTCGCCGCTCAGTCTGCGATCTTGGCCATCTGCTGCTCGAGCTTGGAAATGCGCTCATCCTGACTGCTGATTGTGTCTTTTATAGATTTCAGCTCTTTCAAAATCTCATCCAATTTGGCTTCGTTTTGCTGGAGGGAAAGACAAAAGGCGCGTTCGTTAAGAGGGCGGCCGAGGACTGGAGCCGTCGGAGCAAGGGGCTGCTCCGAGAGGGATTCCCGCTCGTCGGAGATGTGGGCACACCAACACCTGACAGCTGCAGCCCCCGGATTATGGGCTTTTCTACAGCCTTTTCTCAAGGCCTGCACAGTGTGAGGTCAGTCTGCACCACTGTTTGCACTGGGTTTTAGGCAAAATATAGACACACGGCTCAAGCGCTCATGTTCTTTTTAACTCCCTATAAATACAACACCCCATCACCTGTAGGGATGAGCCAGAGCTGGGTATTTATACGAATTTTTTTGAGCACTAACCCTTCTCTGCAGGCAGAGCCTGGCTCAGGGAACACGAGCGTTGGGTCAGAACAACACGCCGAGTTTTCCTTCATGTCAAAATTCAACACAACCTTCAAGGGCACCTCGTGTGTGCGGCCTGTCTGGAACGCCACCACTTGTGTCACCTGGGCCCAAAGCCACCCAGCTGCACCCTCTGAGCTTGGCTAAAACTGATTCTAGACACGGAGCCCTGTACATCAAGTCTCGGGCAGCCATTCCCAAAAGCTGGTGAATTTTACTCACTATGCTTGAGGCATCGGCTGCTTTCTTTGGAGCATTAATGAGATCACTTTTCTTGTTCGCCGCAGGCTTGTTGTCCAGTATATTCTTCTTGACCACCTTGAGATCCCTATTCTTGCCTGGAATGTAGCCGTGTTTCAAAGAAATGAGGAGGGGATCGGCGTTCTTCCCCTCAAACCACTCCTCGGCTTCCAGGGCTGCTTCGGGGCCGGCTGTGTCCGGGTACAGGTCATCCTGGAACAGGTCCGACTACAGGGCAGAAGAAACGAATCGGTCAAGGGCTTTGGAGCCGGGAGCTGGAGCGGGCTGCAAAGCGCACGAGGAGCGGCGGCGCTCACCTTTCGAGGGACCGTCATGATGATGGGCTCGCATTTCCTCTCGTGAAGCTTGAAGAACCTTCCAAAGGAGAGAGGAGCGACTTAGAACAGGGGACAACGGACGTGCCGGGTGAGCGTGGCCTCGGCTCTGCTGCTCGCGCGCAGCAGCGAACGGAGAGGCAGCGGCAATGGGAAGCACGGGGCAATCCTAGGGAGTCCCAGCCCGGCGGCGCCGGGATTGCGGGGCCCTCGCGGGGCTGCAGGAGCTACCTGTGAGTGTGCAGAGCTCCCCTCTTGGGGACGGGGTGGCTTTAGGGACCGGGTGACTTCAGGGAGAGTCGCACGTTGGGGTGTGAAGAGGCACAGCCCGCGCCGGGACTGTGGAGACAACACACGGTAACACACGGCCTCGTCCTGCTCCCTGCTCCCGCGGCGTCTCCGGGCACCCCCTGCAGCCTGTCCTCCAAGCAGGGCCACCAAAGCCACCAGCAGCGCTGAGGAAACGTCCCCGTGTGCCAGGCGCTCGGCTGCGGGCTCCGC